GTCCCTTGAGCAACACAAATTCCCAAGGGAGAGCAGACAGGCACTCCAGAAGCCGTTTGGATTTGTAGACAGACTAACTCTCTGGACTAAAGAAACTACCACCTTAATTTAAAAACTTCCTACAAACAAAATTCTAGGCCCAGTCAACTTTTCTGGTAAACTCTATCAAACTCTCAAGAAAGAAAAATTCCAACTCTACAAACACCTTTTCAGATAATCAAAATGGGGGGCACGTCTCAAATGGCAAATAAAGCCATCATTACACTGATACAAAAAGCAAAGAAAGATATTTTAAGAAAGACAACAGTACACCAATATCCTCTTGAACATAACAGCAAGGAGTCTGGACAGAATTGTATCAAACAAAATCTGACCGAGACCACGTGGCATTTGTCCCAGGGAGGCCAAGTTGGTTTAAAACTTAAAAGTCAGTGAGTACAGGTTTACCACACTGACGCACAGTGTGCGTGAAAGCAAAATCATGTAATTTCTCTCACATAAGAAATCTGACAAAACACAATGTCAATTCTTAACAAAAAGTCCAGAATAAATAGGAAGATAACAGAATTTCCTCGGTTTGATGAGAAATGATCAGCGGAATCTTCCAGTTGACACCAGATTTAAAGCAGTGGCATGTTTTCCCCATGAGACTGGGAAGAAAGAAGGGTATCTGCCTTCTCTGGTCTTGGTCAACATTATACCAGAGGTTCAGGTCCAGCGTGAGACAAGAAAAGCAGCAAAATACATCCAGATTGGGAAGAAATGAATAAAGGTGTTTTTATTTTGGGCAAGATCACTTATCTAAATAACCCTAAGGAATTCCCAAAAAGAAGTCGACTTAGAAAGGCTGGTGATATAAGGAGGAAAATATAAAAATTGCATTTTACCTTACCAGCAATGGAACACTGAAATAAAAATATACTTTGCAAAAGCTATGAAAATATCACTTAGAAACAAGTTTGACAAATGATGTGCCAGACTTGTTCACTAAAATGACATGTGTGGCCTTGAGAAACAAAGACCTCCATGCATGGAGATACGTGGCATGTTTGGTAGATTTAATGTTTTTAGGTTTTCAATTTTCCCCAAATCGATTCAATACAATACCAACCAAAACTTCATCAAGGATTTGCCTTGTAGAAAGGGACAAATGGATTCAAAATTTAAATGGAATTGCAAAAAAAAGAAAAAAAAACTAGAATAGCAGAATGGATTTTAAAAATGTAAACAAAAGTTGATAAACTTACAATGTAATGTTTCAGGACATTTTACAAAGCTGCTTCACCCAAGAAGGGTGGGTAATGATGGGTATGCAGGCAAGAGAACAGCATAGAGAGAATAGGTCAGACTCCTATACAAGGCACTAAAAAATCTTGGAAGAGAAAGATAATTTTTTTCAACGAGTAGAGCTGACAGTTTTGTTAACCAAATACAAGCAAGCTAAAGAACTTTAAAATATCTTGTCATACCACACATGGAGAAGTTAATCGGATGAGTCATGGGCTTCAATGTAAGACCCTGCGAAGAAGATTGGACCTCAGGCTGTCTGTGGTCTCACAGAGATTTGTTCAGGAGAGAATTAAAAAGCCAAACTGTAAAAGAAACCCATCTATTACTCCATCAAAATGCATGCATGCACACATGCGCGCACGCACACACACACACACGCATATGCACTCTTCAGCAGGCACAAATAAAAATGTCAGAAATGAGAAGGAAATATTACAATATTGCATCTGACAACAGACACTTATGTAGAATATATAAAGAGCTACTGGGACTCAGTAAGATAAACATCCCAACCTGAAAATGAGAAAAACTATGAATAAAACATCATTGAAAATTGCAAATAAACATGAAAAAGTGGTCAACTTCATCAGGATTCAGAAAAGTGGAAGTTGAAGTTGTAATGAGGTGTGACCATCTTAGGCTGCATCTTTCAGAACGGCTGACATTAAAAGACAACCACACCGAGTGCTGGCAGCATAGAGCCGCCTTGGAAAGCACTTGACAGTTCCAAGAAACAGGAGCACACACCTATTACACAACCGGAGAGACGGGAGCCCAGCCTACGCAGACTTGTTAAAATGTATCCACAGTAACCCAAGGTTAAAAAATTCCAAGTTCTGTTTAGTAGATAAATAGATAAGAATATTTTGTATGTCCATATCATTAAACATTCAGAAAGTAAAATAACCACACAAATAACATAAATCAATCTCAAAATAGTCAAATGAAAGAAGTCAGACCTGGAAGTCCTACCCTGCTGCTGTCTTACCTGTGTGCAGAAGGGCAGAGCTCACCGAGAGGAAGGGTGTCAGGGTAAGGGGAAAGGATGTATACATGAAGTAAAGGTGTAAAGACTTAGACACCACTGAAAACTGTGAAATTATGCAGGTGCAATAAAAACAGCGTAACACCAAAGTGCACATGATGTATAATTACATGTATACACGCCAACATTTCCCAGCTGACATACGGCACCGGCACAGTGCAGTGGTTGCCTGGACAGGGGCAGCTTAGAGGCCCTGGAAAATCTCTGGAGGGGTGGGTTTCTTCACTGTCAGGACTGCAGTGATGCACTTTCAGTTGGATTTGTACATCAAAACCAATGCAATTATGTACTTGAAATATGTGTAGTTACGTTGAATTCAATTAAACCTCAGTAAATTTAGAGTGGCATTTACATCTAAACCTATACTTTGCTTAAATTTTTTCAGTTTCTGCAAAATTTCTACAAGCATCCAGAAAGCTACTCCACCAAAACATTTCCGGAAGTTGAGAAGACAGTTATCAAATGAACACTGTGACCCGTAATGGGGTCCATGACAGAGGCACAGGTACTCGCTGCACATAAGGGTCTACTTCATTCATTCATGAATTCATTCATTCATGCAACAAATGCTTACTGTGGCTTCTCTGACACGATAACAGAAACTTCATTCCACACACTTCTTATACCAGTAACACTACATTACGCTGAAAGATATTTTGAAATGTCTTGTATTTTTAAACCCTTCACTCACAAGCCATTGCTGCGGAGTAGATCCCAAACTTGTTTTAGCTGATGCGTCCCTCCGAGCTGACCTGTGACTCATACTCTGGTGTCCAGAAACAAGAGAAGGGTCCTTCACCAGAACCGCTGACCTTTGTACCCTTCAGACCTCCTGACTCCAGATTTAGACAGGACCAGCGTCTACACACCCAGCAGCCCCCCTGTGCTCATTTCCCAAGGCACCGTGTGGCCCAGGGGATCAGAATGGGGTGGGTGAGGTGCGGTCCGAGATCAGCACCCAAGCAGGTGACACCTCAGGTGTCAGAGCACCAAGTGTTCACAGAGACAGGTGACTCCAAACTCCAGCACCGAAAGAGAAATTAAAAGGTGACACAAGGACATCCCTTTCCTGTCAGTGTGCAAATGCTCAGGCTGCACTTGCAGGTTGAATTTAGGGCATGATTTTACATTTTTTTTGCCATAACCTACAGTACACATACCACTTACTTTAATAGAGTCACCAAAAGCTGACTAAAATCATTGTATATCCTTTGTGCTGTATGATTAAAAGTAAACCCAGCATTTCAATTTATTCCATGACTTTCTAGCACTACTCACATCCCTGATTTATTTTCTGGTCATATCCTGGCTTAAGGGACTTGACAAATACAGGCGTTTCTTCAATGAAAAACAAACCCCTTCCACAGACTTCTAATGTGCATTTCTCTGCAGATGTTTGTTGTCCTCCAGCCCTTATCTATCAAACCGCCTGTCACCCCTGCAAGCAGCAGACAGTCCTGACCGGAAGGAAGCTGTTGGCTTCCGTCTCTAGTGGCCTGCTCTGTCCCGAGCATGGTCCACAGAGTGAGCGAGGAAGCAAACCTACTCTGCAAAGCTGCTGAGGCTGCAAAAGGGGCCCAGGGCCCTGCTGCCCAGGGACGGGGTCACAGGGAGGCCACCTAGTCCTGAGGGAGGAGCAAAGTCTCCAAGGGAGGAGCCGAGAAGATGGAAGACACGGTGGCTTCAGGATGGGTGGGGTGGGGTGCAGGGGTGCAGTGGGAAAGACACAGGAAACCAAGACAACAGTGGAGCCCAGGCTGAGGGCTGTGAATTCGAGCTGCTGCTTTCTCCAGGGCTGGGAAGTCGGGGAGGTGATTGGCACAGGAAGGGCTGGGACTAGGGACACTTCTCCGGGAATGAGAGCTTTACTGGGCTCAGCATATACTGTAATCTCGTCTTGGCCAACACACTGAATAGGGAATGGGAAGCCTGATCTCCTGTATACCTTTGGCCCCGTGCTTTCCCTTTCCCTACTCTCCGGCCAGGTTCAGGGGCTCTGGTGTGGCAGGAGTCACCCCTGAGGGGACCGCAGGCAGCTGCTGGCTGGCAAACACCCCAGAGCTTAACACAGATTCAGAGCTGGGAAACCAGTATGTAATAATCCTTACTTCACATGGGAGGAACGGAGAGCCAGGGAAATGAACCTGTCAGTCCTCACAGCTAGTGGCATTTTGAGAAGTTAATGATTTTAAACACTCTTCCAGAACAGCTGCGATCGAATCTATCCACCCAATCTTGCGGCACAGAATTGGGATTATTCTTTGTCAAAATGGACTTGCTCTACTAAATATTGCATTAACTTTGTTATATCCAGTATGCAAAACTATTTTAACATAGTGTTGGGGGGTAAATATTATTTAAAAACACAATGGAATATCCATAATACCTGCTCTTCAACATCCTTTTTAGTTTTTGGTGAAGTCACTTAATTTTCCTTTGAGACAATAAGACAGTTGTGAAAGGGAAACAGATTCTATCAAAGAAAAATCAAATCTTGGGAAATACTGGTGTCCATGAGACTCAAATTAAAAATTCATAATGTGACTGAATTGATGTCACTGATATAAACCCTCTGTGTAGCTTGGTTGGGAAAGTTCACCATACACATCAGAGTACATATTTAACTTCAGCTCATCAAACGTTCATCTGCAGGCGTGGCACTTACTGGTTCAGGATGGGTGTGTAGGCAGCGTTGCCCTCATCGATAATCATCACCATCAGCGTGATCAGCTGGGGCCAGAAGTCCAAGTCCTTGGTGGTTGGGCCCTGATCTTCCCGGGGGACGTCCTGTTTCTTACTCTGCTCCCGAGGGGTGGGACATGCAAAAGAAGAGTCAAATGGAAGGACTTGAGTCTGCTGCCCAGGTCCAGCGGGAGATCAGAGAAAAGCACTTCGCAGCAGACCACTTCATAGAGTAGACACCACATTACTAACTCAGCTTCTTACAGTTACAATGTATCCAAGTCACAGTCTACTGTGCAACCACACCCTTCTCAACACCTGGCCTCAAGACTGGAAAAACTAAGGAATGAACGGCAGTAGGAAGGTAAGTAAAATCGTACTCACTTACGAAACTTTTGGGAGTTGCACATTTCATAAAAAAATAGAGCAATTATAAACCCACTAATAAATGCAATTACAATATGTTGGAAAAGTATGGCTAAGTAGATCAACTGTAATTTGAGTGATTAGTAGTATTAGTGGCTAATGTTATTTTGTCACTAGATTGTTGTTGAGACTGGAAAGAAATCATGGGAGGGTATAACAGAGAGCAGTGGAAGGGTGTGGATCCGCTGAAGAAAGCGCCACTGGTCACGCCCTCACGCTACCTCACTGCTGAGAGACAGATGTGACTCAAGCCAGAAAATAGCTGGCATGGTGGCTGCACTCTGGGAGGCTGAGGCAGGAGGATCAAGAGTATGAGCCCTTGGGGCTGGGGATTTAGCTCAGTGGTTCCACCACCTGCCTCACAAGCGCAAGGCCTTGAGTTTGATCCCCAGTACCAAAAAAGAGAAAAGAATATGAGCCCATCTTGGGCAACTTAGTGACTTAGAGGGACTTCCTCAACATAAAAAATAGGAATAATAATAATCATCATCATCATCATCATCAAAATGAAGGTTGGGAATGTGGATCAGCGCAGTCTCTGGCTTCAGTCCCAGTGCATAACAAAGAGAGAAACTATAGCCTATCCCACCCAGCAAACATGGACATACAGAATCATTATGTGCAAAACAGAAAGTATTAAAATAACAGACGATGTCTCCATGTGAGTGGGACTAATGCAACTCCGTGGAAAGTGGCACGCACATTTGTGCTCACGCACGTGTGCCACCCTCCGTCTCAGGGGCTGCTCAGAGGAGGGTGGGCGCAGAGGGAGGAACCCCGAGGTGGGCAGGTCTGGGTGAAAGGCCTGGGACAGCGTCTTTCACCTCAGTGCTAGTGGACGTGCATAACACCCTCACTTGCGCGCACACGCACGTCCGTGCTCAGATAACTTAGGACAACATTTGCTTAAACAAAGGCGCAGGGTCATTTCCTGACTTTTTCAGCCTTTGATATGTCCCGTCTGCCACAGAGATCGATAAAGGAGTCATTTGTCGGAAGACAGGCGCGGGAGACCACAGGTTAAGTGGGAGGATCACACGGGTTCTCTGTGAGGAGCCCGGAATACGAAGAGAGCAAGCCAAGGCCGGATCCGCGGAGCCGGGACGCAGGACTTCCCGGAGGTGGAGGGGCCGAGTGGGAACGCCCATGGTTGACCCGGCGTCCCCTGCTGCGGAGCCGGGGACCGGGCTCGCCAGTCCTGCTCCTCCCGAGGCCTCC